CTCCCTTTTAATTTCATTTTTATTACTTATAAAATAAAGAATTTGAACTAAGTAACCTCATAAACTCCTTGCAGTTCTCATGTTCCATAGTTACCACACAATATGTTAAATGTTCCATCAAGTGTTACTAACATGCCTTTCTTGGTGCAAACACCAACATTTTGCAACTATGCCTGAACATTTTTTCCTTCATAACTCGAAGGTTTTCCAAATTATGAGTGAAGGCAACATCATCACCCCCAGGATGCCCCAAGACTTCCTGTCCACTACTGAAGATTAAATAGCTATCATATAGCTGTAAAAATTCCTTGTAGACCTTGTTTGTGTGTCTCAGATTAACCTAAAGAATTATTTCTCTCCATTTCATAGGTGACAAGAAATGACAAAAGAGACATTTAGATATACTTTAGATGTATAGTACATATAGAATCTGTTAGCTTCTAAACTACAAGTTTACTCTGCTTACAAATTTTCCTAATTCTGAAAAGTTTCTTGGAAGTAACCTCTGTTCTTATACACACTAAAAATATCTTTTAATATAACTCTCGAGTATAGAAATTGGATTTCATCAAAATTAAAACCCAGTGGTTTTAATTAGGTACTGTAAAAAAACAGAAAAGTCAAACCGCAGACTGGGAGGAAATATTTGTGTGCAGAATATATAAAGGTATCTCAAAACTCAGTAATAAGAAAACAACCCAATTAAATCGTGGGCACTAATTTTGAATAGACAAAGAAGATATATAAATGACAAGTAAGCACATGAAGAGGTAATCATTGTCATTCGCTATTGCAGAGAAGCAAATTAAAATTTCAATGTGATAATAATACACACCTATTAGAATGTTATCATATAAATAAATAAAAATAAAATTAATAATGTCAAGTGCTGTCAGAGATGTGTAGCAGATTTAACTCTCATATACTGCTGGTGGTAATACAAAACGGCACGGTCAGTTTGGAAAACGTTTTGACAGTTTTTGACAGCCTAATGTAAACATCCCATACAGTTCAGTAATCTCACTCCTGAGTATGTGCCAAAGTGAAATGAAACTTATGTTCACATGAAAACTATACTAGAAAATTTATAGTTGCTTTATTTGTAATTGCCAAATACTGGAAACACTTGAAATGTTCAACTACTAAGTGGATCAAAACAAAACAAAACAAAACAAAAACTGTGGTACATCCATACAAATGCAATACTGCTCAGCAAAAAAGGGAACAAACTACTGAAAAACACAGCAAAATGGAGGAATCTGTGATGCATTATGCAAGTGAAAGAAACCAAATCAGTGGATACTAGGGACTGAGAATGAGGTCAAGGAGAATTGACCACAGAATTAATTTTCTACTGCTTCGTAACACATCCGTGGCTTCTCTCACGGCTTCTGTAGGTCAGAAATCAGTGCACAGCTTGGATCAGTGCTTCTGGCTCAAGGTCTTTCATGAGGCTGTAGTTAAGCAGTTAAGCTGTCTGCTGGCTGTAGTGTTATCTGAAGACTCAAGTGGGGGTGGATTGGCTTCCAAACTCACTTACATGGTTGTTGTTGGGATTCAGTTTCTTGCGGAGTTTGGGTTGAGGAGCTTAGTTCCTTGCTAACTGGTTAACCTGAGGCCTCTCCTAGCCCCCTGTCATATGTGCTTCTCCAAAGGGCAGTTCACAACACAGCAGGTGACTTTTCTCAGACAGAGTATATGAGAGTACAAGAGAAAGCACCTAAGACATAAGCCACAGTCTTTTTATAACCTAATATCAGAAGTGACATCCCATAACCTTTGCCAAAATTACATTTACTAGAAGAGAGTCATAAAATCCAGCCCACACCCAAGGGGTGGGTTTATACAGGGGGTTGAACACCAGTAGGCAAGAATCACTGGGTGCCATCTTAGAGGCTGCGTCCTATAGGAATCCTCTGGATCCCATGGATTCTTATTTCTCTCACATTCAAAACACACTCACCTCTCCCAAGGTCCTAAACATTTCATCCCATTACATTATCAGTTCAAAGTCCAGAATCTCATCATCTGAATCTGGGAGCCATGGTAGAGTCAGCCTGCCATACACAAAGTGGAACAGGGAACTTTTAGGGGTGATCAACACTGTTCCATATCTTATCTTGATTGTGACAGTGATTACACAGTGGTGTTTGTTTGGTAAAAACTCATAGAACTAAATATCAAAAGGGATGGATTTCACTGTATGTAAGTTGTACCTTAATTTACAAAAAATAGAAAGAAGGTAACAAACTCAAGAATATAACATACATACAAACACACATATTACATTAAATTTTGGCCAAACAAATTGAATGATTGGTCAATGTATTAATAAAATATATTTAAAGAAATCTATATTTTGGCACTGGAAAGTAGCATTATTATTTCTAATATAATTAAAAAGCCATAATAACATATCATATGCTTAGAAAATCAATAACTTTTTCTTATAGAAAAAGAAAATTATTATTGTTGACAACTTATAATTTTATTAATTTTTTTCACAGAAAGAAGCTTATTGTGATAATATCAATTTTTTCTCTTTAACATTTGGTTTTCTTCCTTAGAACAGACAACTCATCAATTCAAGTATTAGGGAAGATGAACATATATATAAATGTACTATTAACTTTTTCTCACTTTATTTACTAAAAAACTGTGGGGACAATTTTCTATAAAATGTATTTTTATAACCACCTTTGAAAATAATTTACTTCAAGTAAACTGAATATAGTCTGTGAAAAAAACCTCTGTATTTCTTCTTGTTTTTCCCAATTCTGAAAAGTGACAGAGGTAAGGCAGTGGGATCCAGTTACTGCACCCTGTTTATACAGCTGTACTTCATTGAATGAAGGCTTGTGTTACACACAGTTTGTGATAGGAAGTAAATGCTTTTAAAACAACTATAGAGACAGGTCTTTAACCTCCACCCTCATGGATTCTTTGTTCCACCATTTAGCTTCTGTGGAGATTATAAGGAGGTAGTTCCAATGCATATTGTTACCCTCTAATTAAACCCCATCTGATTAGCTCATCCACTTGTGAACTCATAACATGGACACATTATGATGAATTTTTTTAAATAAAAATCCTGAAAGGCCCAACAAAGTAGTGTTTTTATTTGTAATGAAGTTTTTATGTGACAGATTCTGAAATGTTCAATAATGTGTATGTTCTAAAGAGAAAATGGTTACTTCAGATGTTCAATCTGTAAAAAGTTTTAAAAGATTTAGGAGATTCATCAAATTTATTACCTCTTAATAATATTCCACACAACATCTGAAGATTTAAAGTGCCATGGGATTCTTTGTATCTCTCTTATTTTTATAGCTATATAGGCTAGTCAGTAAACCAGAGATTTAGGTTCTAGGTTATTTCAGAGATTATGCTTGGGAAGTTAGAGATCATTACGGTGAAGTAGTTCTCATTTGTGTAAGAACAATTTCCTTCATTACTCGGGTAGAAATACAGGGTCATTACTAGGAACGATTAGAATGATTAAAATGTGAAACCAGTCAGGATCTAAGTTAGATATAAACTGATGGTTTGTGAAAATACTTGCCCCACTTGAAAATATATGACTTTAATAGAAATGACTTCTGATAGAGCTATGTATTCATAATCCTGTTGCATAATCTCATTCTCACAGAACTAAGTCTTTCTTATATCTCATTTGTTTACCAAAACTCTTTTGCACACTTTATTTGGTAACTCCCTACATAGATTGTCCATAGACCTTTCATTTCCTAAATGAATGGACAAGAAGAAGTCCACCCAGAATGACTGTATCTATGTCTATATCTCCATTTATCCATGCTTTTCATTTTAAAAATTTCTAACAAATTGTTCTGCCATGTGCCATGTATTTTAACTATGAATATATGGCAGCTGCAGAGACCAATAACTCAGTATTTCCACTTTTAGGTTCACTGTTCAGTTCCCATGCATCCAAGCCTAAAAAATTTTAAATTTCTAATCTATACTGGCAGGGATACAATTATCACATCATATGGTTAATTCTATCTCGTGTATTTGTAGCAAAGGACAAAATATAAGTTAGTTTCGCTAAGAGCATACTTTCTTTTACTAAAACAGAATATATGGCATTTTGATCTGTAATTCTGGTAGGAATTGAAAAATGAGGGCAGAATGAAAAATGTGGGCTTGTTTTCTTAAATTCCATATACTTAGGTGGTTATTATAGTGGCACATTTGCTGTAGAAAAGGCAAGAAACTCTCCTTTAGGTATATATGAATCTCAAGACAGTGCGAGGGCAATTTACATAATGTTCGGTGAAAATTAACAATTTGCATTTTCTTTTTTATTTTGAGGACAAACAGCAATTATGTGGGACAATTTTAGAAATGGTATACTGTTTTGGTGAGGTATGGGAAGAACTATATGTAACTATTAGTTATTAATATATATCTGTAAATAAAACTGAAACCTTAAATCTTAGGGCCAGATGTTATTCTGCTTTGCCTCTTATTCCAATAGACAGATTTTGAAATTTCTTAAAACGCCATTAGGGAAGAATATTATGAAATATTTCATTCCAAAATTTATACACCAATTTCTCCCATCAGAGTACTCTTCTTTAATTAGAAATATGTTATCACATGCTGAAAAATTATCACAAGGCATTGACTGTATTTGTTACAACATTACCAGTTGGCTTTTATGATTTGTCACATTGTAATATGTTAGGAAAGTGTAAAGTTTGGAAGTCATTTCAGTTTTCTGAAGGCATTTAATTATATCATATACACTATACATATTTATTGGCTATGTTTCAATTTTTTATTTCTTTGTAATTTATACCATCTCTGCTTCCAAAAATGATTTGAGGCAGCTCATTTTAATTATAATTATATTGGCTAGGTTTTTCAGAGATGTTCGAGATTTTTCTTCCTCACTCAACAGAGCAGCATACATAACTGAAAATGAAAATTGCTTTGTTCTTATTGTCATGGCTCATTTCAAATTGTGTGTTTTGCAGAGGTTAATATTATGTGGGCTGCACACCAAACACACCACAGTTCAGAAGACTATAACTTATCCACAGCGCTGAGACAATCTGTCTTCCAACTGTACACTTCCTGGGTAAGTTTATGAAATTGAATAAAGGTGATAATATAATTTCATTTAGTCGCAACTGTTTCTGTTTCCTCCAAGTAAATGAATAGAAGCTGTTTTACAAAAAATGCTTCTTTCTCCTCTGTAAGGCCAGACACTAAAGTGTTTCCTTCTCCTCTGTGAAGCCAGACACACATGAAGGAAGTGGTTTTTTCCAATGGTAGTCTTTTACTTGAGGCCCCAAAACTCACGGTGAGAAAGTGGCTGGCTGTTCTTTATTTACTGTCAACTAAGGAGTGTGACATATAGACAATGTATCTCAATTCAAATATATGCAAAGATTTCATTACAAACTTTTAAAAACAGTTTTTAAAAAATCAGTTCCCATTTCTGCATGCTTGAGTAAAATCTAATTAAATTCTTTGCTTTTTATCTATGTATTAGCATAGTTAGTACAATGCTCAACAGAAGGTTTGGCTCTAAAGTATTTTAACATAAGGAAATGACAAGGCTAATGAATACCAGAAATTGCCTCTAGTTCTAAGATTCTTCTCATTCTCTGGGCAAACCTGATCCACTTGGTATCAGACCTCATCTGTGATTGTCCCTCTTTAGCTCTTCCGAGCTGTCTAAAGTACTGCTGCTAAAATGCACCTTGAGCTAGAAAGTCAGAGTTATCAATGTATAAGTGCATTCATCAATAGCTGTTTACTAATGATAAATTACAATGATAATAATACAAATGTTCATCTGTATGGTTCTTAATAGTTTGCATGTATAATACTTCTATTAGATATGATTATTGAATATTTTCTATGTGCCGGACAATCATCTAAGACCTCTTTATGTATTAATTCATTTGTTTTTCATGACAACTTCAAGGCATAGGTACTAGTATAACTCTCATTTCAAAATGATAACTGAGTCCATAGTTTAGTCACAAAACTAGTAAAGGGAGGAGTAGAGTTTGAACTCATTCAACCTGGCTGCAAAGATCTTAACCTCTACACTAAATTCTCTTCTATGTACCTCTGTATTGTTTTTCACTTATGTCATATCTTTTGATCCCTGCCCCCCGTGCTATGCTAGATCAAGTGTTACCATTATCAGGTACCTGTAGGTCACTGAGGTTAATTACACAACCAGTAAGTGACAAAGTCCCATATTTGAAATCAGATTCTTCATAATCAATAGAAAGATATACTGGCATGTGTTCTGACCCAAACAGGAGCATAGGCCATACAAATGGATAAGCCAGTGGTGGCACTAATACATTTGCTGCAAAGGATATTGAAGGAAATCCACCCCCTGCTCCCCACACCATACACCTATGTTACAGCTTATATTAATTTCCTAGGCCTGTTGTAACAAAGTACCACAACCTGGGTGGTTTAGAACAACAGAATTGTATTGTCTCACAGTTCTGGAGGCCAGAAGTTTGAAACCAGTGCTGGCAGGGTCATGGTCCCTCTGAAGACTCTAGGGGAGCAGCTGTTCAAGTCCTTTCTCCTAGCTTCTCCAATCTTCACTCCCCATGGGAGTCTGATCTTCACATGGGGGTATCCCTGTGTCTGTGTTCAAATTTCTCTTTTTTTATAAGGACACTAGTCATGTTGGATTAGGAGCCCACCCTACTCCCTTATGACCACATCTTAACTAATCACATCTGCAATGATCCTATTTCCAAACAAGGTCACATTCTGAGGTATTAGGGAATAGGATTTCAACACATGAACTTTAGAGTGACATGATTCAATGTATAACACAGCTCTAAGCAATATACATGGAAAAGAAAGAAAGATAGATAGATAATTTCCCCCTCACATCTTCTATAGCCAGCTTGTGCTGGAACTTTAGAAGGTTGAAAGTAGAGGAACATACTACCTATTACACAGCTGTATATACCTCAAGACTGGTCCAGTGAATGGAGGGAAGGACAGACTCCTGACTGGGGAGGAGAATACTGTCCACCCTCCCTTCTTAAGGAATAGCTGCATTAATACAAATTGCTATTATCCTATACAAAATAGGCTGCCTATATGACTGATTAAAATAATAATCTCAAAAATATTTATTCTCTCATGATTTATATATTACTCTTTCCATAAGGTTAACTCAAACCACCAGTAGTTACATTTTGGGGGGGAAAGTCTCCAAGGGATGTAGCTATGTTGGAAGTTGCTCCAGGGAAATCAGTGTCATTAATGAGTTAATTATCTGAGGAATGATCAAAGGAAAATTTTCTATCTGAGCATCAGAGATTTCAGAAATAGAAGAAACCTGGGAGATACGATATTTAAATCATCTATTTTTAAAGCTACAAAATGAATCTCAGGGGAGCCCACCCATCATCCAGTATTGAACATTGTTGGTTGGAACAGTCCAGACATCTTACTCCCATCTTTATCCTGGTCTAGCTTGTGTCCTTTCCCCTATTATATCAATGCATCCAAAGATACAGATTAGTGAAAATTGAAGTGAAATGCAGGTTCACGCCTATTTATTGCCAGACTAAATTCCCTTTATAACCTCTTATCACTTTGCCAAAGACACAGAAAATATGCTGAATAAGTAAATGAGCATTGGGAATGCATTACAGCTGTTAATTTGGGGTGGAGATGGGGAGGGAGAGAGGATTTCCAGTATGGGACATGAAAGGTAGAGATTGTCAATCAGCCTGGATTCTTGGTTAATATTTGTAAGTGTGCCAGAAGATAACTTGGATGGTTTCAGGATCCGTGATGGTTGCCAGTCTGTGATAGGTCTTTCTAGACATTAAAATCAGAGTTGTCAGGTCTCTTCATTTTCTTTGCATCTTTTGTAAGGTTCTTTTCATCGATACAGCTATATAAGGCATATAATTTGGTAGCTACTAAGGTAACAATGTATTTTAGAACAAATAATAAATGGGTCATGTCTTTGGAGAGAAAATTGATTTGTGAAATGAAAAGAAAAATTAAGCTCAGAGTGCTTTTCTTTGACATTACTATGAAAATTAGGGTGGCAGGCCTGTCATTTAAAGTAGTTAAAGATGAGAATTTATAACCATACTTTTTGCATTTTTTAAATCCAGTTTTAGGTGATTTAACATTACTTATCCCCAAAGAGCTACAATTAGTGGAGTAACTGTTTTTCCCCAAATTATTGATTTTTTTTTTTATTGAAGTGTAGTCAATGTACAATATTATATGTTACAGGTATACAAAATAGTGATTCACAATTTTTAAAGGTTATACTTCATTTATAGTTATTATAAAATATTGGCTATATTCCCTGTATTTGTTGGGGAAGCTAGTAGAGTAGTCGTGTTCAGGCTTCAGAGGCCACACTAGGCCTCTCTCTGACCTGACAATGACACTAAAGCTGGCCGCATGCCAAACTGCTGAGCTACACCCAGGCCAAAGGGGTGGCGCCAGCACACACTGTAAACCACTAGATAAGATAGAGAGTAAGTCCTGGGACTTCTTGCACCTTGAGGGTCTGGCCAGCCCCTGGGGATCAAGAACATTCCAAGACTTATGAGTTAAGACCAAGGCATTTATGACAGTAACCAGAGCTGCAAACTTGCATGTAGGTTGATTGTTATCAGCATGCGGCCTGGTGCTAAAAACTGGGCTCCTTCGAGTGGCAAACTGAAGTCTCACCTGTGGGGTGGATGCACCACCCGGGACCCTTCCCAACTGGGACTTCAGCTTTCTGTTACTTGGGACTTCCCAGCTGCTATTTGAATCTGGATGTAGGTGTCGGACCAATCTGGTGATATATACTCTGTTATGTCTCTCTAATACTTTTATTCATCCCCTTCTAATGCCTGTATATTGAAATTAAGTTAAATAATCTTCTATTAAAAAATTAATTAAGTCTGCTCAGTTGTGTGAGATGAGTGGTTATTTTGCCAGTGAATCCAACGAACCTTGAAACAGAAAGCAGGATTTCAGCAAAACAGCATTGTACAGTATATCCTTGCTTATTTTGTACAATTATAGTTTATACCTCTTAATCCCCTATCCCTATATTGCCCCTTTTGGTAGCACCTTTTTAAGTGAGGCTTATTCATTATAATTAATTATAATAATTAATTATAATAATTGCAATAATTAAATATATGGTTTTGCTTGCTACTTCAGTCTTTTATCATAAATCTTAATATAATGCCTATATTAATTATATATATTAAGTAATTAATATAATGCCCTATATTGCCCCTTTTGGTAGCACCTTTTAAGTGAGGCTTATTCATTATAATTAATTATAATAATTACAATAATTAAATATATTAATATTAATTATAATAATTAAATATATGGTTTTGCTTGCTACTTCAGTCTTTTATTATACATCTTAATTAATATAATGCCTTAAACATGATAGTCTCTCCACTTTGCAAATAATAAAATGTGTCTAGACTCATGAATATTATGTAACATATAATAGGGTAAAGGTTAACATCTCATTTTCTTCCAACTTTATAAATAAAATATCTGAATGCTACAGCTTTATATTCAAAACATAGTTATAGAAGTGCTCAAAAAATAAAAGAATGGGATAAGTCAAAGGGTTACAGGAGCCAATTTGAAAGAGCTCCCAATGGCCAAAATGTGGAACAATTTGAACAACAAAATATATAACATAGTGTGAAGTTATAATCCAAAATATAAAATAAATATCTTCGAAATCAGTCCACATTGACATAGATAAATGATTAAATACATAAATAAATAGGAACAAATAAATGGGAAACGAAATCCCCTAAAGAATTTCAAGAGAATTTCAAATTATATATGTAGATACTGCCCCCATCCAGGAAATGGAGGTTAATACCTCCTTTATCATTGCCCTTTGAATGTGGACTCTAGTAACTCCTTCACAAAGAATAGAGTATGGAAAGGGACAAAGGGTGGGGTGGAAGTGGAAGTTTAACTTTAGAGTGGAGAAACTTAGCAAACACAATAAATCGCGGGTCAAAGTTTACATCATCAGGTTGTATTGGTAGCAGGTACCCTTTGATAAGATGTGATAAAAATATG